GATCACGTGACCTCCACCGGTTTGCCGTTCGAGGTTTTCGCTGAAAACCCTGGTTGCATTATTTCTATAGGCTGCTTGTTTCGCCTGATTCCTTGAGCAGTCATTCAAGCGTGCGGTTTCTAACTGTAGCGTAATTTGAATAGGACACACGCTAATTACTGGTGTCTTACTTTGTCAAAACAACATTTTTTTACGATGTCTTCGTGACTTAACATCGAATATCTCGTCAAGTTATAGAATGTGGGAAACGATCGTACAGATTATAACCACAATAGCAAAATTCAGCTTTTCTCAAACTGGTACTCATACAACTCAGGTTCAAGCAATACAGAAGTTACCTCGACAAATCGAGACGTAATATTCGCCCAAGGGAATGTAAAGGGCGTAACAGACTCTGAACTAACTTTCGATTGGAGTCAGCTTCAGACTACCTACCAATCTAAACGGAATGGGGAGATTTTACGCGCAATGTTTGTACTGAAGATATGTTCCTACGACACTTTCATCCGCAATAGTATGCAGGTAAGTTCGATTCAATACTTCGACTCGAGAGGCAGTCGTAGAGATTCTTCGAAGTATGTTTGCTTAATAGAGCAACACTCGACGAAAACACTATCATCGGAAAAAAATCTCTAAATGGTTATAAAAGAATGTGGAAGAGGGATCGATACTATCGTGTTATCTCGATTCGATTGCAAATTTTGGGGTGAAATATTGAACACGTCTAGCAAAGTAGCGAATTACATTAGGTTTCCCTTGTGGGAGAATCAAACACATACCACGTGAACCAAAAGGTAAGCTGTTCTCTGATTTTGTCGGTAACCTGTGCAGAAGAGCGGTTATATTCGCCTCGCAAAACGATAAAAATTGCTTAAAGCTAGCACTCCCTCGTGATAAAGCGAGCTAATGCAGACGAATTCCATTTGACATTACATCGGGGAAATTTTACAGCCTAATTACACACCAAGTAATATTCAGATCAAGAGATAACTCGAGTGGATAACGTAACATGGCCATCGTTAAGAGATTCTTAAAAATCGTTAAGAGATTCTTTAAAATCGTTAAGAGATTCTAAACTCTTTATGATGGTCAATTTAAATCACCAACTCGGCTGTGATGCACCCCATCGACTCAGTACCACATTTTCTTCGGGAACTTTATACCCCCGTTTTTCAATATTCAGATCACTTTGTTACCATCATGGCTGTCATTACCATACGTCTTCAAAGCATTAACGTTACGAAGGATCGCCTACTGAAACCTTGGGCAACATTTGAGTTCAAAAGAAGATCTTGACGCAGCAATTAGAGACAGTGCTTCGCATTCGAATAAGAATGAGGACGACTTTATTTAGTGTCTACATTTGTATCACCTCTGTTTCTCTGAGCCACTGTGAATACATTAGCAAATAGATTAAACGAACCATAAACGGCCGAGACAAGTTAAAGCGGTTCTTTACAAGAGGAGTTAACACTGAAAAAGTGACAAACAAACGTCAGTAGACCGTTCGACGATTCATTCTAACTCTTGACGAGGAATAATTACCGTAAAGCCATCGACACTGCCTTAAAGAGCTTCGTTGAATTCGTAGAATCACCATAACCTGAAATTCCGAACCAAAGTGAGTGGCGCTTATTCCTGTTGCGCGCCAGCACACATGACAGCCTGTCAAGAAAGCCAGCGTGTGATTGGTCCCTTTGTTAAAGTGACCACTTTAATTAAACCAAAATAGCGTCGCGCGAGAGACTTTAGAGAGGGTATTTTTTGATGTTAAATGCAATTTCATCTGCGGT